GTCATCGGACACTCCCTTGTGAAATGTCCTTCTTTCTAGCACCTGTAACATATTCTTTTTCCCGCCCAACATGGCCCAGCATGGCTCTTCTTACAAGAGGGGCACATCGGAGAAGAAATCTGCCTTTGCACATGATGTTGGTGTCCTCTTGAGGGTTGACTAGAGGAGAACGATGCAAATTTCCTCTTGAACCCCGAGCTGGAGCCTATCACCTGCTGAGACTGAGGCTACTCGAGACATTTGTCCATAACCAACGCACACCTGACTACGCTGCATATGAAGTTGGTTCCTTGAGAACAAGTAGCCCCTTGATCTCCCTATGCAAACCGTCAATGAACTTGTCAATCTTTAATTGCTCAGTAGAAATATATTGCATTCCAAAACGGGACAGCTCCGTGAACTTCCTCTCGTATTGGGCCACAGTTAGGCTTCCTTGAATGAGACGGAGAAACTCTGCCTGTTTTTCATTCCTGACAGTCACGGGGAAATAGTACTCATACAGTAGGTCCTTAAACCTGCCCATGTGACGGGTACGTTGGCGTGATCCTCCGCTGCCGCCACCGACTCCCACCAATTTACTGCTTCTCCCCGAAGCATAAACACTGCTCCCCGAACCTTGAAATCGTCGGAGCATCCCAAATACACATTCCTCGGTCGCCGTAGGCCTCTCACTCACCCCGTTGAAAACGGGTGGCCCAAAGCGTTTGAAATCCCTGATAAACTGAACCTCCTCTTGCGAAATTTGTGCCCGGCGAGGCTGCTGCACYTGAGCTCCACCGGCTCCATTCGCATTATCCAGCAATACTTGCAAAGCCTCAGCTAGCAACGCCACCTGGGGATTCACGTTGGGAACTCCCTCAGGAGCTGCCTGAGGGCCCGGGGGTGCTACCCCTCAAGGAACTGCCGGGGGAACATTCGAATCCGCTGCTCCCTCACCCCTAGGATTCGGTTCCTCATGTGAGCTCTCATGTTCCGCCGAAAAGCCATTGTCTAAAAGAACAGAGCACCAAGGTCATTAATGCACTAACCAGGGCACAACACAAGTGCGAAGTTCAAACAAGTCTATATAACGAACCAAGGAAAAACACGCCAATCTATCTAATATCAGACAACAATGACATCTCAATCATAAGTAATGTAAGATATTCACGATCGAACAACAGAACTAGGAAACGTACCTGGTGATGACGAGGAGACTGACAAGGACCAAACCCTATCGACCTAGGTTCTAGGACAGTCTACAGGAACAACTCCGCTCTGATACCAATTGTAACGACCCAGAATTTCCCACACAATTCTAGGTCATGTTAACTACCCAACTAATTAAACTTAACCCCCAAATACGTCATGCCAACTCCCTATACAAACAAATATATATATAATCAAGTTCCAATTCTCATCAATTTAACGATAACTCAATCTCATAGAATATCATTCAACCACATTCGTGGACCACCCCACGAGGCAAGTTTATTATTCAAACTAGGCAAAACTCAATGCATGGAATAAAACTAAAATAGGCACCTATCCCAAAATGAAACTAACAACAAGAGGGAATCTCCCAAATATTCAAATACGAACAAATAGTTTATTGACCCTAACATAAGGTCTTAACTAATCACTTAAGCTAATCAAGAGTGACTAAGAAGCCTATGGTCCTCGCTCGTCATGTCTCCTCCGTCCAATCACCATGGTCGCCCACGTGTCCATCACCTGAAACAATCATTGTAGAGGGGGGTGAGTATATAAAATATACTCCGTAAGTAGCCCTTACCAACACACACACACATCATGCTCAACTATATCAAGAAACATTCATAGTCATGCTTTTCAATACATTATGCATTCAAACATAAACACATTCCATAAAATTTGGTGACAACCACAACCAAGAACACATTAACTACCAACCTTTAGTCTCCCTAACATTTCAAGTACCTCTACGCTTATCACAGCTATCCTAGCCTTCCACAGTTAACTCCTTCGAGTAGAGTCGGCCCCTGACCATTTTTACCCAGAGCCCCGACACTGCTGCATCAGCCCTCGACCATTTTTACTCGAGGCCCCGATGACTTCACCATCTATTGGCCCTTGACCATTTTTACCCAAGGCCCCAATAGCCTTCCTTCCAAAGGACT